CAAAAATGAGATATATATAAAGTGTGGTTATGCGTTTTTATAGTGTTAGAGTAGGAAGGGTGAATGTGTTGTTCTGGCGGGAAAGGGGGTAGGGGGGGGGAGGTTGAGTTCTGTTGTTGGTGGAGTAGGTGTTGTTGTTTGGGGTTTGCTTTTTGCTGTGTAGTAGTAGGAGGGTGGTAATAGATCATTGAAGGTTTTTTTAGGATTATTGGGTATTGTGGTGGTGTGGGGTTAGGGGAATATGTTTCTAAGGGGCACTGGTGGTGAAAGCGGAATACGGTCAGTAATGGGAGTGAGGGAAGAGTGAGTTTTGCTGAAGGATATGTAGAGGTATAGGATGACAATGCGCAGATAGATTGAAACGTGGATACACACATACACACATACACACATACACACATACACACACACACACACACACACATACACACATACACACATACACACATACACACACACACATACACACATACACACATACACACATACACACACACATACACACATACACACACACACATACACACATACACACATACACACATACACACACACATACACACATACACACACACACATACACACACACACATACACACATACACACATACACACATACACACATACACACATACACACATACACACATACACACATACACACATACACACATACACACATACACACACACACACATACACACATACACACACACATACACATACACACATACACACATACACACATACACACATACACACATACACACATACACACACATATACAATACACACACACATGCAAAAAACACACGTTCAATACACACACACACACATACACACATACATACATACACGCATACACACATAGGCACATACAAACATACACACATACACACATACACACATACACACATACACACATACACACACATACACACATACACACATACACACATACACACATACACACATACACACAATACACACACACATGCAACAAACACACGTACCATACACACACACACACACACACACACACACACACACACACACACACGCGGACGCACAACAAGACCTTCACCTTGGACTGGTTCACCAGGCGGTCAAGAGCGGCGTAAAACGGCTCAAACTGTTGTGTGGCGTACAGGTACTCAGCCATGTCAGCTGGCGTCAGTTCCGCCTCCATGGAATCGTCTTCGTTGCTAGGCAACGCATCTTCGGCGTTTCGTATGTCTACGTCACCAGCCGTCCCGTCGGCGTCATCCTGAGGCAAAGGGGAAAAGAACAGGAGAATACCGTTATTTCTTTGTGGCAAATCACGAGGAATTCCATGTTTGGTCATTGTTATATTTATGACACCATTGTCCTGGAACGTTTAATTGCCAGGTTATAAACCGATACCGTTACAAATTAGAGCTATTGGGAGGCTGGCTGGACACCAAGGAGACAGGCAGATATATTTGACAATAAATTTATTAGAATGCTCCTCCACCCATGAATCAAACTCAGTTCTTCTGTATATAACTGTGAAACACCTCACCTCATAAGGTGCCCATCACATCAAAATGTTATGAAAATTGAAAGTCCAACTTTTTAATTATAATTTTTAAGATAACGTTTCTGGAAATAAATGAAATTGAAAAGTAGAGTTGATTTTTTAAATGTTTTAATTTTTTAAATTCATTTACTCATTTTTCATTTGTTGATTTTTTTAGGGAGGAAAAGGGGGAGGGGAGATTCATATTCGTGTAAAGAGGGAAAACAGGGGATTCGCGTCCGCAATTAATAGATAGATAGATAGATAGATAGATAGATAGATAGATAGATAGATAGATAGATAGATAGATAGATAGATAGATAGATAGATAGATAGAAAGATAGATGGATAGATATAACCGATCTCTCCCCTTATTTGTAGCTAAATTATGTCTTGTTCTCTTTCGCTCTCCCGTTCTCTCGTGTGCATTCTCTCTTTAAGCTCGGTCTCTCTCTCTCTCTCTCTCTCTCTCTCTCTCTCTCTCTCTCTCTCTCTCCCCCTCTCTCCCCCCTCTCTCTTTCTCTCTTTCTCTCTCTCTCTCTACCCCCCTCTCTCTCTCTCTCTCTTTCTCTCTCTCTCTCTCTCTCTCTCT